TAAGCCATTAAATTTTTTTGGTTTATCAACATAATTCACCGGAACATTAATATAAGGGGAAAGAAAAATTGATGCAGCAGCAACAACAACACAGATATTAGCAACGCCAATAGTATTTGGTCATCAGCCATCTTTAATTGAATCTGTTTTAAGATTGTATGGAACTTTATTGGGAAAATAACAATAAAATGATTTAAATATATAATACACATGCTCGTGAGAACACAATATCCTTAAAACTGATTTGCCTCGTATGAGCGTCTATTTTCCAGGTTACAACGGCAAAACCAAATAAAATTCGACGAATTGGAACTATACATGGACCAAAACACTATAACAGAAAATGAAGAAAGGAATTTTGTTTTCTTCTTTGTGTGTGTCTCCTCTTCAAAAGAAAACAAGCCCTTTATATAGACTAAGTAAGATAGACACTTCATTAATTAATCCGTTTAATTCAAAATTTAATAAAGTTAAGTTAAAGATTAATCTTATAACATGAAATAAGTTACAAGTTTTGAGTTGAAAAACACGGTTTCAAAATTAAATCTTTATGTTACAAATTCCATTTACAGTTTTCCAAGACAAACATCATAATCACTCATAGACCCCATAAAGTTCACTAACCACACTATTCATTTATGCATCCAAAACCATCTACATCAATTTGTAACTGCATGTGTAGGATCACTATTTGTGTCCTATTTTCATGTGGGACCAACTAATTTATTACTCTAATTCAATCAAATGTCCCTATATATATTGTAGGGAAAGTTATTTAATAAAACTCTTTCCATTTTTATATTTTTTCAATTACACTCATATCATATATTTTTTTTTATTTTATTTAATATGCATCTTTATCTATAATCATCTTTAATTTTTTTTTGGATATTTAAATCTTGTGACATAATTTCAACAACTTTTAAATTATAATAATTATTGTATCCTTGACTTTTGCCCTAAATTTTTTCTTGAAAATATACTTTAGATAAACAAGTTACTCTATATTTAAATTTTTTTTATACTGTATTTTAGATTATATTTTAACAAATTTAATACAACAGATGTTCATTTACTAATAAATCATAGTTTTATTCTTAGCTAATTTTTTGAGCTAATTTTGAAAAAAAAAGTCACATTTTTTATTATTCAAGTATGTATTTTTTTTTATTACATAACAAGTTGTTTTCGACTCTTAAACACATATTAAGTGATATATAAAAATTACATATAATGTTCTATTGCAATTTGTTTTCGACTTAATTAAAAACATTATTATCTTTTCTTTTTCTACTCATTAAGCAATATTTTATTAAAATTATATAATTTATATTATGGCATATTCAAACCACTTATAATAATTTTACACACAATTGTTGTAATAAGAGTTTCAGCATTTGGTGGTCTAACTAAGTGATCATAATCACTCAATATTGCACAAATTAGATTATTGCAATTATTATAGTCATTTATATGTAAATTAAACAGTTTATATTAGAATTATTTATTTTACTAGAAAGAAAATTTGTGCATAAGCACATGATCAAATACTAGTATAACTTGAATATACAACAAACCTATATGTAATTTATAATACAAAATAAATACTATTGAGGGACGATCTAGTAATTAGGCGAATTAAAATTACAATTTTAAAATCACTCGCAAATATTTTAAGTTTATGTTTTACGTGAATATTTCACTATAAAAGTATTCATATTTATTTAAAAATATAGTTAATTATAAATTATATTTTTCTAACATTGCGTTCACAATTTTAAAGAATCTCATGTTCACTGCACTCAATTTTGTCCACAGTTTATATTGTCCATATATATAATTCTCGAATGTATTGAGCTTAACTGTCAAACTCGTGTGCTTCGTAAGTTTATTTGACATAAATTAGTGCTTCGTATTGACATATGTTCATATTTGGTTTTGACTACTAGGCTTGAGAATTAACGTAAACTAATTTAGCTTTGTTTTTTTCTTCCGTTACCATATACTACTCTTACATTTTTTATTTATTTCATATATTAATTATTATAAATATGTTTTCTTTTTATTTTTTAAACTTTATAATTTTTTTTTTTTGTATTTTATTTTTTACATATGATCTACCAATATCATCATATTTTAACAATCTTTGATTTTACATCCATATTGCATATATTAAATAAAAATTAATTTCATCTATATTTATAAATAAAATCAATTCTATTATCAATTCAATTTGAAAAACATATTATAACAATAGAAATTATTTTATAAAAATTTAATTCATTAATACACTATAAAATAATTATTTTATTTTTGTTTCCATAAATTGTGGATAAAATTTAATATAAACTTTGAGAAATATTATAAAATATAATTTCTCATTTAAATAGATTAAAAATCGAATGTTATTATGTTATTTAATATAACAAATATAAAAGAATTTAATAACTAAATATAATAAAATAATTTTGTATTTATTAAAAGTAGACAATAATACATTTCTAGTAAATTCTAAATTAATAATTATATGAATGTAAAATACTAATAAACATGAACACTGACTTTATAAATATAATCATAATACATAAAATTTGTTTTGTTTAGAAAAAACGAATCAGATATACGAAGTTGTAAATAATATCAGTTTTATGCATATATAATTTAAAAAAAATATATATAATTAAAAATATATTTTTTGACAAATTTAGTGTAAAAATAGGACCACCATTTTAATTAATTATCGCTTTGTTAGTTATTTATTATTGTTACATATTCATGATACTCATAACTTCACAATAAAAATCTAAATTATATTAATATTTATTATATGAATATTAATAAATTTAAGTACTCGTGTGCACGAACATTGTACTAGTATGGTTCCATAATCCGAATAACCGAATTTTTTCAACTTTGACCAGAATTTATTATTACAAATAAGAGAAACAGAATTTGCTGCTTTATAGTGAGCGACTATGCTTATGGCATGAACCAAACGCAATATGTGTGACAAATTAATGGTCAAATTAAAGTAATTTTCATTAAAAAAAAAATACCTTGTAAGGAAAACGAATTACTCGAACATAATCTTCTCTTTTTTGAGAACCATTTTCAGCACAAGGTCTTGCAATGCAAATTTTGTATGCCATAGGCATATACACAAAATCTCAAATGGTAAACAACCATTTATTATTTTTTTTTACCCAAAATAAAATCTCAATAAAATTCATGACTTATGACTGAAAAACTGGTAAAAAAATGCTAAAAACAGTTGATTGCATTAGCATATAACGAACTGTAATAGTTGATTTGACTAATACGTTATATTATAACAATTTGTAAACTAGTATTATTATTATAATAACTTATTTAACTAAAACATCGTATTAGCGATATATAGATTAGTATTTTGATAAATAGGGCTTCAAATAATTGTTTTGGAAATTTTATGTTGTTTCATTCTAGGAATCATCTTTCATTCAACATGATGCTCTATTGAGCATTTTCAAAATTTAGCAATTTAGGCCAAAAAAACTAATAAATAAGATTTTTACCAAACAAGTTAATCAACATATATCAACTTCAAAATAAATTTAAAATTATTAATGTAACATCAATTCGCTAACACCGAGTCTGAGATAGCACTACAAAAAATTCTATGGAGCCATCAAATGACTCTCTTATAGAGTTATCCATAATTTTATGTACTGACACATGTTCAATGCGTATTTATTGCAGAATACTTCAATACACGATTTGTGAATAACTATAAATGACTCTATAATTCGAGTCATCCCATGGCTCCGCAGCAAATCTAATACCACTAATATGTCTTTGACATTTACCTTTCTTAGGGACAAAAGTGGAATTTGATCCATTTTAAGGAAAGACAAAAGTCAAAACAAGGTAGTCTAGCAAATTAAGAGTGGAGAAGTGCAAAATCCACAAAATAAAATGAAATAAAATCTGTACCACATTACAAAAATTAAAAAAAATAAAAACAAAAATAATAACAATTCATAAAAAATATCATAGAAATAATTTGATATAGTCCTCATATTAATAAACACAACATATAACAATTCAGGAGATCTTGACCGTTTTTTGATTATTTATTTTTGAGCACCATTCTCTTCACCCCTCATTAGTACACGTGCTGCCTTTCATCTCTCTCTCTCTACATTCTCTCTCTCTCTCTCTCTCTCTCACACACACACACACACACATTATGGTATAATTTGCTTCCCTGCATGGAATTCACACACACACACACACACACACACACACACACACACACACACACACACACACACACACAACAAACAAGAAATGCAAGAGAGAGAAAAAGGGGGGGATGATTTTTATGTTACATTGGGAGAATTATAAGGAAGAAAGAGTCTTTTGCTTTCTGTTTTTTTTTTTTTTT